ACATCAGCAGCTGATGATTCGGAACTTGATGCTTTTTATGAGGATTTGGAGGAAGTCATCCGCAAAAAAAGCTCCTTCTATAAGTTCGTCATGGGTGACTTCAATGCGAAAATCGGGATACAAGAAGAAGGGAAGCATAGGATCGCGAGATTTGGAACAGAACTCCGGAATGAGAACGGCAACCGTCTTGTTAAGCTCTTATCCACCACTTTTTCATGGCAACTCCATCTTCATGAAAAAAGAAAATCGGCGGTGGACATGGGAATCACCCAACGGTACGATTCATGCGGAGATCGACCACATTCTCACCAATCAAAGGTGGTGCTTACTGGACGTCTCGTGGTACCATCCTCCAGTAGTGGCTCAGATCACCACGTCCTTCGAGTAAAAGTGCGATTCACCGAAAGCTGGAGAAGAAAATCTGCCACCGTGTTGGAGGAAGGAGGGAAGTCGTATATGACGGCGTCAGATTGGAGGAGCTCCTGACCTCTTGTGACTGGCCTATCGAGGAGAGTCCGACGAAGACTACGACCTGCTTCTTAGAGGACTGAGCGCCTGTGGTGAAAGTGCCTCAATCCCACAAGGAACTTGAAATGAATTTCGAAAGCCACTGCGGATCTGCCAAAGAGGCAAAGCACTGAGGCTGGATCCCATCGCATCACATCTCGAGCGACTGGTAGCCAATACTTAGAACAGCTTTGCAAGAAGATCTTCGAAAGTACAGGCAATCGAAACTTTTGAAAGCAGCAAGTCTCAAGAAGTACCGCAGGGACCTTTTCGACTATTGTGTTCCGCTGACAACACTACTTAAACGAAGACAGCTCGCTCGTCAACACCCGTGTCAAACCACTTTATACCCACTGGAGAAATACCACTACGGATTCTACCTACTGAAGTACGCGCTGCAATCCAGACCTGAATTCAGCCACGGCTCCGGGACTGGACCATGTTTCGGTCGACCTCTTACGAGCCGGAGAACATCGCCTCTCGAGATAGAACATCTAACGTCCTACCTTAAAAAGGAAAGGATGCCCCGACAAGTGGAGAACCTCCCAAACTTTTTCATAAGAAGGGCGATAGGGAGGATCTGCGGAACTACCGTCCAATATGGCTGCTGAGCGTGTTTTACAAGCTCTTTACGGAGATTGTTCTCGCTTGCATGTCAAGGAAACTGGATGATGAGCCAACCTGTAGATTAAGCTGGATTTCAAAAGATTCCTGCGTGGATCACATCTAGTCCGTTTCGAAGTTTGCTGAGAGTACCGCCTACCTCTCGTCCTAACTTTCGTTGACTATGAGAAAGCGTTTGACAGCGTCGAGACTAATGCCACACTGTCAGCGCTCATCGACCAAGGGGGTCCCATCTTACGTGAGGGCATTGGCCGACTGCTACAGGTACTGCGCTACAATGGTACAGTTTTTCCATTGTCCCCTTAACATACCAATCTCGAAGGGGGTTCGACAAGGCAACCCGTGTCGCCCAAGCTGTTTACCGCCGCGTTGCAGTGGGTGATGAAATCACTGGGTTGAACGAGAAAGGTATACGAGTTGATGGGAATTCCTCTCAAACCTTCGTTTTGCGGACGACATTGTTCTCTTCTCGAAAAGTATCATTGAAGCGGAGAAGATTTTGAAGGAACTAAACGAGGTAGGGAAGCAGAGACTGCGAACAACCGGAAGAAGACACAGTTCATGAAGAACGCTTTTTGCGAGGATCAGGAAATGAAATCAGAAGGCTCTCCAATTACAGAGACGTCTTCTTACGTATATTTCGAGCGCTCGATGAACATGGAGAAACAGGAGGCAAAGAATAGCTTGGGCCTTCGAGCCCCTAAAGGAAGGCACAGACCAACTGACGGATCCAGAGCTCCGAGCCTACCTATTCGATTCTACTGTTCTCTCTGCGCTTTGCTCCGCAGCAGAGTCGTGGCCTGACACTGTGGCGACGTCAGAGGCTCTTCGAACAACCCACAGAGAGCCGGAACGACGTCTTTTGAAGTACAACTGACGCACTCAACATCTCGTCGGACTTTGCAGTTAAGATATGAGATCAGTTTCCTGTCTTCGCGATCCAGCGGAATACGTCTCCAAGGCAAAGCATCGATGGGGTATAATGAGAAGGACAGACGACATTGGACACTAAGAACTCTGGAATGGATTCTTCGCAAAGCAAAACGTCCTCGTGGAGGCCACCGACCAGATGGGCTAACGTGTTCGTTGTACGGATGGACCAGCTGAAGTCTCAGCTGGTAACGAGTAATGGATGTGGACCTCGCGAACGTCGCCGCTGCACCTCAGTACCAACATCGTGGACGACGTTAGCGAGAAAAGGGATGGAAACAGTGCTGTGGCCTGCACGACAAGTGAAGACAGGCCATCTAAGTATCTAAAGTAGTAATTAACACAATTAGAAATTGAGTAATTATGTTACAGTGCAAATTGGTGAAACCTCGCACTATACATATAAATACTCAATTTTTTTCCAACAAAGGTGAGGTTATTGTACAATGTGAATACGATTTTGTAATCCATGTCAAATAATCCCATTAGATCATATCCCAGACAAATCCATTTTGGAAACTGTGACTATACAGCATAATTCTGCAGTAAGGCCCTTTCATGAAGAACGTGTATGATTTTAGCATAAAGCACGCGATTGCGCCACAAGGTAGCATCCTAGCAATTTTTAAACTTTAAATACAAAGAAATTGAGCTGTAGATTTACCGTTTTGAGCCTTCTCAAACACATTTTTGATCTCTTTTTCAAATGAAAAGCCGAAATCATTAAACGAGCCAAGCATATGTGTGGAAAAAGACTTCTGCTTCCTTTAAACTTTAAGCAATATCCCCAAAACTTCCGACTACTTAGAAGATGCTCAAGTTTGGGAAGACGAACTTCAGCCAACATATTTAAATTTTCAGTACCCTTAGACTACGTATATGGATATTAAGTTTTGATTTAGCCTGTTTGGAAGCCTTCCACTTTATTTGAAAGCGGAACTAAAACAGCTGTATGAGCGCCATGGTCCTTAACGCTTCAAAAAAACAGACAGAATACAAGTTTTCAAC